TGCACTCGGGGGGCGGGGGCAAGGGGGTCCCCCAGCCTGGCCTGTGCCCTCTCGCAGTCTGGGACCCCTCAGGAGATAATGACTTGCTGGCTTAGGCCTGCTCCCGGGTGGCAGAGGGCAGGCCCAATCCCTAGGTGCAGCCCCTGGTCAGGCTCAGAGCAGGGCCGATTGGGGAGTTGGGGTGCCGCCCCGTCATGCACAGAGCAGGGCGGATCAGGAGGTTGCGATGCCACCCTCAGTCATGCTCAAGGTAGGGCCGATTGGGGGGTTGGGGCGCTGCCCCCTGTCACATACAGAGCAGGGCCCATCAGGGGGGTTGGGGCTCTGTACCCTGTCACACACAGAGCAGGGTTGATCAGGGGGTTGGGGAGCTCCCCACTGTCACGCACAGAGCAGGGCCGATAGGGGAGTTGGGGCACCACCCCCTGTCACACACAGAACAGGGCGGATCAGGGGGTTGGGGCACTGCACCCTGTCACACTCAGGGCAGGGCCAATGGGGAGGTTATGGCTCTACCCTGTCACACACAGAGCAAGGCCCGTGGAGGGGGGTTGGGGCGCCACCCTCTATCACCCACAGAGCAGGGCCGATCAGGGGGTTGGGGCGTGCACCCTGTCACACTCAGGGCAGGGCCAATGGAGAGGTTATGGCTCTACCCTGTCACACACAGAGCAGTGCCTGTGGGGGGGCGGGGGGTTGGGGCGCCGCACCCTGTCACACACAGAGCAGGGCAGATCAGGGGGTTGGTGCGCTGCACCCTGTCAAACACAGAGCTGCAGGGCAATCAGGAGATTGGGGAGCTCCCCCCTATCAGGCACAGAGCAGGGCTGATCAGGGGGTTGGGGCGCCTTCCCCTGTCATGAACAGAGCAGGGCGGATAGGGAGGTTGTGGCCCCGCACCCTGTCACACACAGAGCCGCAGTGTGATCAGGGGGTTTGGGCGCTGCCCCCTGTCACTCTGATCCCAGTGCCGGGAGCCTCGCTGCTCCGCTGATCCCAGTGCCGGGAGGCATATTACCCTTTTACTATATAGAATAGAGGCCTGGTGCACGGGTGGGGGCTGGCTGGTTTTCCCTGAAGGGTGTCCTGGGTCAGGGTGGGGGTCCCCACTGGGGTGCCTGGCCAGTCTGGGTGAGGGGCTGAGGGCTGTTTTCCAGAAGCGGGTGACTGAAGCTCCCAACCGCTCCTTGTTTTCTTTCTTTTTTTTTTTTTATTCTGGGCCAGCTTTAGCTCTGGCTCTAGCTCTGAGGCTTCAGCTGCTATAATCGAAACAATGTATAACTCTAGCTCTGAGATCCCGGCTGGCTGAAAGCTGGTTTCTGGGGTTTTGCAACTATATTTGCAACATAGTTTCTTAGAGTTGCAGCTCAGAGGCCGGCAAGTCAGGCGGGGAACGTTGCAGTCTGCAGTCACTGGAGCAAGCAAGCCTCATGCTCGCTTCCAGCTGCCTGGCTGCCGGCCGCCATCTTGGCTGACAGTTAATTTGCATAAGGATATGCTGATTAGCCAATGGGAAGGGTAGCGGTCGTACGCTAATTACCATGTTTCTCTTTTATTAGTGTAGATACTTTGAACATCTAAATGTGAACAAACTGAACAACCTGGGCAAAATGGACAAATTCCTAGAAAATATACCATCTTCCAAATGCAGTCAGGCAGAATCAGAAAACCTGATAGGTCAACTACAACTAATGAAATTGAAGCAGTAATAAAAAAAAACTTCCCAGAAACAAAAATGTCCTGGACTGACGGTTTCACAGGTAAATTTTACCAAACATTCAAAGAATTAACACCAATCCTCCTCAAATTATTCTAAAAATTCAAGAGGAGAAAAGAACTGCAAACTCTTTTTATGAGGTCAGCATTATCTTAATTCCAAAACCATATAAAGACACAACAAGAAAGAACATTACAAGCAAATATCCCTGATGAACATAAATGCTAAAATCCTCAACAAAATATTAGCAAACTGGATCCAGCAATACATTAAAAAGATCATACACCATGACCAAGTAGGATTTATTCTGGAGAAGCAAGGATGGTTCCATATTTGCAATCAATAAACATGATACATCATATAAACAAAATGAAGGACAAAAATCACACAATCTTGCCCGGCTGATGTGACTCAGTGGTTGTGTTCACCAATGCACCCAAGAGGTCGCTGTTTCGATTCCTGGTCAGGGCACATGCCCGAGTTGTAGGCTTGATCTCCAGTGGGGGACATGCAAGGGGCAGCGGATCACTGTTTCTCTCTCATGGATGTTTCTATCTCTCTCTCCCACTCCTCTCCCCTCTCTCTGAAAATCAATAAAAACATATTTTAAAAAATCACACAATCATATCAATAGACACAGGAAAAGCATTCAACAAAATCCAGCACCCATTTATGATAAAAACTCTCAGCAAAGTGGGAATAGAGGGATCATACCTCAACATAATAAAGGCCTTAAATGACAAACCTACAGCCAACATCATACTTAATGGGAAAAAACTGAAAGCATTTCCTTTAATATTAAGAATAAGACAGGGATGTCTGCTTTCACCACACTTATTCAACGTAGTACTGGAAGTCCTAGCCACAGTGATCAAGACCAGGACAAAAAAAAAAAAAAAGGCATCCAAATTGGAAAGGAGGAAGTAAAACTGTCATTATTTGCAAATGACATGATATTGTACATAGAAAACCCTAAAGACTCAACTAAAGACTACTAGATTTAATAAATGAATTCGGCAAAGTAGCAGGACACAAAATTAACATCCAGAAATTGATGGCATTTTTATACAACAATAATTAACCCTTAGAAAGAGAAACTAAAAACAATCCCATTTACCATTTCAACAAAATAATTAAGACACCTAGGAATAAACTTAATCAAGGAGGTAAAATATCTGTACTCAGAAACTGTAGGACTTTGAAAAAAGAAATAGAGGAAGATACAAACAAGTGGAAGCATATACCATATTCATAGATTGGAAGAATTAACATCATTAAAATGTTTAAACTACCCAAAGCAATCTATAGATTGAATGCAATCCCTGTTAAAATACCAATGGCTTATTTCACAGATCTAGAACAAATACTCCAAAAATTTATATGGAACCTAAAAAGACCCTGAATAGCCACAACAATCTTGAGAAAGAACAAAGTTGGAGAGATCAGAATACCGGATATCAAGTTATACTACAAAGCCAATGTAATGAAAACAGCCTGGTACTGGAATAGTTGGTAGGGTGGGTGTCTCAGGGAATCACAAAGGTGGTGCAAACAGTGTGAGCCAGGTTGACTGAGACTCAGATATGGCAGCACCTGCCTGCTGGCTCTGTGGCAGGGAGGTCCCAGAAAAAGAACAATGACCTCTACCAGTATTTTTGTCTGCGAGAAAGCTGCCCCCCAGCTCTTGCTCTGATGCCAGACAATTTAGTTCCTCCCCATATGTTGCTGGGTCCTTTCAAGCTGCTGCCCCAGTACTGGACTCAGTGTGAGTACCTCCTAGTAAGTCTGTGTGTGGACACTTTAAGAGGAACTGCCTGGGTTTCCATTAGCCTCCATGTCACCCAGCCACAGTCCCTGTTGGTTTTTACGGCCCAGTTACTGAGACTTCTCTTTCCAGCAATGAAACCCTAGGCTGAGGGGTCTGGAGTGGGGCTGGGACCACTTGCTCCTCACAGGAGGCCTCTGTAGCTGAGATATCCTGCCCAATTAAAAAACACTACACATGGGTGTCAGACTAGCCCATTCCATGCCCCTGCCCCTCCTACCAATCTCAATGTGGCTTCTTTAATTCTCTAGTTGTAGGACTTTCATTCAACCAGATTTCAGTCAGTTCTGAATGATGGTTGTTCTGTATTTTAGTTGTTATTTTGAGGGAGGAGATGAGTATAGCGTTTAGCTACACCACCATCTTGACACTCCTCTACCTTTCTTTTTTTGAATATCAAATTAAAACACATATAGCACAATTCCAATGGAGATTTTTCAAGGAAGGTAGAAACTAGTTTTTGTATCAAGGAAGACATTTTCATCCAACAGTCTATATATGCTTATCAGAAATCATCATAAGATAACTAATCATTTATATTACATATATTATGCAATCCATATGTAATTTTGACTCATGAACAATATTTTATATACAATTGCAGTAGAGTCAAATCCAGTGAGTATATAGCTTTTGGGATTTAATGCATTTAGGACCTTAGAATTAACAGGACATTTTCAAAATGCCTTATGTCAGTGATGGCGAACCTTTTGAGCTCGGCGTGTCAGCATTTTGAAAAACCCTAACTTAACTCTGGTGCCGTGTCACATATAGAAATTTTTTGATATTTGCAACCATAGTAAAACAAAGACTTAGATTTTTGATATTTATTTTATATATTTAAATGCCATTTAACAAAGAAAAATCAACCAAAAAATGAGTTCGTGTGTCACCTCTGACACGCGTGTCATAGGTTCGCCATCACTGCCTTATGTTAACTAATCGTAGAGGAAAAATAAGTGATAAGCATGGGAGAAAAACGGCAAGAATATTATCAATATTATAGTCATATTTACACTGAAAGCTGCTCTACTTTGTAAAATAGTAGGATATATTAAAACATGCATTGGTAATATAGGAGGACAAAGGGAGGGGGAGGAGAAGGAAGAAGAGAAATGTTAAACTGATCCTACAGGAAAAGATATAATTGTAAAATATATTGCAATATCATTAACTAGTAAAATGAACATAAACCAAATCACTAATAGGTCTGTATTCTGTACACATAACTTCATTCAAAAGAAAAATAACCTTGAAGCCACCTTCAGAGTTTCCCAATTAAAGTATTTTATAATTTGTCACAACATTATCATTAAAAGCTCACCTCTTTTTCCTTAATGAGATTTAGGCTATTAAAATACTATGCACTTATTGAAATAAATTTACTTGAAAATTGAAGCTCAAAGCAAAATTCATCTGAAGTGGACCTTTTGGAAGATATTCATTGCATGTCCTCACCTTCACATTGGGTTTTGACAGTAGTTTCAACAGCTCTCTGATCTCACTATTTAATGGCTTGTTCTGCAGCTCTTCAGCCAGCTGCAAGAGAGATCACATTGACATAAAGAACATTTAATAAGAGCATCATGTAGTTCCATGTGTGCCCACTACAGATCTATCTTGTGGACTGTCCAGTGATTAAGGAAAAGACAGCATGAAATAAAACAGTATATCAATCACTGCTTTTCTTTTTAGACCCTTACTAGCCCAGATCCCAGCCCAGGCCTTTGGCTAAGCACAGCCCAAGGAATCCCATCAGCCAGATCACCTTTTGATTTATTGCAATGAGGGCAAACCACAGCACTTCATCTACCAAAATGGCCTTTTGCATGCAGACAAAGGACTACTTGTAAAAAGTACTGGATTAAACTTTGACACTATTAAAAAAAAAAAGAAAGAAAGAAAATAGAAAGAAGGGGGTGGGGGGAGCTCTGAATGAGGTGGTGAAACCCACAGGGTTTCCAAAAAACCATAGTAGCTTGCTGTTTAGAGCTGGGTAAAAAGAACTAGAATGTCTCTAATAAGGCAAAGGTCCAAAACTTTTATTATGTTTACCTACACAGACTATGGAGTCTGTTAAATACAAACCAGGTTAATCATAAAATGACTTATAGTAGGTTGACAACTACTCCAGTACCAAAACCACTGACTATACTCTATTACAATGATCAACAATTCCCATTTGCTGGTTCTAGTTAAAGCAAGGACTAGAGCTTTGAACCTGCCTCATATTCTTAACTAAGATCTTCCTAACAACATTTCTATTCAATATTAGGCTATAGGAAGGATCATATAATTTTCATAAGAAGAAAAGCAAGATTCAAATAGAAAAAAAGATTAAAATTGTGAAATATGCAATACAAAATTAAAACTATGTACATATATTTTAATTTAAAAACCTTTCTTAAAACATTGCATAAAATTTGTCCTGTTTTTATCTCTGGAAAAGAACTTTTCTCTAAAAGAAGGATGAAATATAAATTACACACACAAAATAAAATCCAATAAAATTGGTATATTCATTTATTACATTTCAAAAAGTGGTTTTACTTTTTGAGGTAACACTTTTACAGAATTAGCTTACTAAAAGTTGCAAAGGGCTCTTTGCATTCTTTGGTCATTTAATATATAACAATATTTTTTAACATTTCAATACATTTCTCTGATGAATTACTATTATACCATATTTATATATTAGTCTCTAATTTTTTTTAAAGCAAGTTATCATAATATAATTGGGCCTCAATTACATTGATTTACAAACAAATATTTCTCCAAACCTTCAACAGTAAATTTTTTAAATTTTACTTTCTCAAGTGGCAACTGCAGCTTTCTGTAAAACTCTATCTACACTTTTATTCATCTTCCCTTTAAATGTTTTGGTTCTATAATGCAGAGGCAAACTTCCTTATAAAACATGTATACTGAAATATCCTTCTAATTTGTAATTTCTGTAGATTCAAAATGGAAAGAAAAATGTTTGGGAACTAAACAAATAGCCCACCACTTAGAGATTACATGCTTTATTTTCTAAATTAGAAATATAAAATACATAAAAGAAAATCAACATCTGAGGATGGCCATTTTTTAAATTATAGTTATGGCCCTGATATTTTACTAAACTGAATTATAATTGGTTTTAACATAACAAAGTAAAAACTTAAAAAGCAAAAAATTAGCTGCAGGAGATCACCAAAACCAGCCTTCACACTAAACATATTTCTCATCTAGCTTAGTGTCCCTTACAGTTTACCCAGGTGTGCTCTCAATTCATCCAAGTCCGAAAGTTAACAGTAAGAAACAGCAAGTTAGTTCCTTACCCCAGATTGAAAATAAAATTATAGCTACAGGAAATTAACTACTCCATCAATGCCAGCTGCTTCTAAAATTTATCTTTTGGTTATGAAGGTAATTTGGAAAGGTCTAATACCCATAAATCATTACTATGCCTTATAATCCATTTTAAAAACAATCCTGTCTTTTTATGTATTTCTTATGCCTCATTCCTATACTAGTATCTGTCATTTTTTAGTACTGTCAGCAAAAGAGCTATCTCATTTGTCTTTATTTCTCCAAAGCATTCCTCTTGTCTGTGACTTTCTGCGTACACTAAGAGCTGACAGCTTCTCTCTCCCCCAGAGAATTACAGCCTAAAATTTATATTACGTAGTTACCAAGGCAAAACAAGAGGTATCTACATGCAAAAGTTTTAAAACAGGAGATGGAAAATAAGCTAATATCAGCATAAACTCTGTGATGACAGGACTTTTGGAAACATTTGCAACTTCTCTGGTTTTCACTCATAGTATCGCGTGCATCTGTCTGCACTAGGATAAGTTCTGCTGCAGCCAGGCTGGTGGCAGACCTGTCCCAGTGATCTCAGAAGGACACACTTACATCATCCGCCAAGGCTGCTGCGCTGTGGAGGATGGGCACAGGATTCTGCCTCTCATAGTAGTGTAGTTTTTCATAAATCTGCAAGAAAAGCAAATGAATATAAGTTCAACTGCTAGCAAACATCTGAGATATTTAACTATTTTTATCATTGCAAATAGAAACTGATCATTGAACATTCTAAACAAAAAAAATTAATGGTTCTATAATGACAAATATGTGTACATAATTCATCTATTACTATGGTCCAGTGTTTCTAACATGAAGTCAAACAGAAAATAAAATCGTCAACAAATAGAACCCACATAGAAACTACACCTTTGTGGGGTTTCTTTTGTTTTGTTTTTTTGGGGGTTTTTTGCCCCAACAAACATTAGCTAACTAAAACCTTTAATTTCTTAAACATATTGCTTCAATACTTCAAGCATTGGTTGTAGTTTATATTCCTGTTAAAAACATAAATTATGATTAAAGGAAAGCGGTAACCTGGCAGCTACATCTTGACAGCTGGTATGCACTAAGCATCCAGAGTACGGAAGCGGGCGCGGATGGACCTGTGTGGTACTCCAGGAACACACCGTTCCTTTTACTTATTATTTTCCAAATTGCCAACTTCACCCTCAAAATTCAAATTTCTAAGAAACAATGGGATTTCTCACAATTAGAGACATTTCTTATAGCTAGTTAGCTTAAATAATTTTCCATAATGGAAAACAAGTAAAATTATATTAATAAATAAAAAATAATTTGGAATCTAACTTTCCATCATCATTACTCAAGAAACACAAAGGGAAAAATATTATAAAGCATTATAAGATGAATTCCTTTAAAATTTTAGTATTATTGTTTAGAAATGAAAGATGCTTTGACAAACACAAAACAGTTGGCACTTGTTTAATCTATTTCAGCTCTTACAGGGGTACACTTAAAATTTTATACTTGAAAACTTAGTTTAGCCTCTTATTTATAGTTGACCAAACTGCCCCCCACTATACAATATGAAAAGTAGTTGAACCTCTCAATTTCCTGTTTCTAATAAGTATCAAGTGATATACTCTTTAATTATACTCAAAGCTTAACCAAACTTTTTTGTAAAATGTCTGGAAGATAGATTTTACTTTGAATACCCTGATTCTATTGCTAAGAGAGGATTCTATTACCATTTTGGCAGCCTAGTACATAATGCAAAGCATCAGGGAGAAAAGTCTGACACTTATGATATTACCAGAATGATCAGGACAACATTTTTACTTAATATCTTAGAACTGTTAAACATTTATCACATTTGAATAATAAACAAAATTTCAAGAACACAGATTTATAAAAAGATTTGATTTGGAAAACTGTGACAGTATAATTTAAAACCAACCATTCCAAAAGTTAAATCAATTTTCCCTAATTATCAAGAATTGTGTTACCTCAACATTTACTATCACTGAACTTACCCTCTCCATAAACTCCTCCAACTTACTGCAACTACTTGTTTAAATGTCTGTTTTCCTGCAATAATCTAGATGCTCATACGTCTTAGCTACCATGTGCCTGTATTACCTACCTAATAGTTATCAGTACTATTAGTAATACAGTCTTTAATGAGTTCAATATCTGAATACCTTAACCCTCAAGAACATGAATGGTAGATAGCTCCATCATCTCATCTATATATATATAAAAAGCCAGCGACTAGAACACTGTAACCACCAGAATCACCAGTTGCTATGACGCCCACTGCAGCCAAAGAACCGCCCTGATGGGGGGTGTGGCCAGCCGGCCAACCTCCTGAGGCCCCTCCCCCTAGCTGGCCTGCCCCCCTGATAGGCCTCTCCCACCCCAATCGAAGGCAGGGAAGCCGACCAACACCCCTGCGGCCCTTACCCCTGGCCAGCCCCACTCCTGATCTGCCTGCCCCACCCCAATAGGGGGCAGGGCCGTCTGGCCAACCACCCATGCCCCCCCATGGCCGGCCCCACCCCCAATCAGCCCCCATCACCCTCATCGGCTCACAACCCCTCCCCCAGCCAACACCGTCCACGATCGGCTCCCCCACACCAATCAGGGGTGGGGCTGGCTGGCCAATCTCCCATAGCCCCTCCCCTGACCCTATTTGGGGGCGGGGCCAGCCAGTCCACTGCCCACAGCCCCTCCCCCCTATTGGCCTGGCCCTGATTGGGCCTTGGTCTCCTCCTCCCAACAGGCCCGGCCCCAATCCACTGATTGGGACAGGGCCGGCTGGAACCCACCCGTGCACGAATTCATGCACTGGGCCTCTAGTTTTATAGATAAACAGGTACACAGGAGAGAAATAAGTTGCTGTGGTCCCACAAACAGTAAATGCAGAGTTGGGATTTAAACCTCAGGCCATCTGGTCAGCATCAGAGCTCTTTAGCACCCTGCTTGCCTGTCTGTCTCTCAGACTCACATCTCATCTACGTTTTCCACTGACCTCATTTACTGCTGAATGAATATGACCTGTTTGTAAGGGCAAGAAAAGAGGCTGGATAGATATGTGACAGATAGTCTGGCTATTCTCAATGACAATAGGATTACTGACAGTTCCTCTCCTCCCCTCCTCTATTAATATTTTTTTCCTGTGGTTCCTAATTTTTCTGATTAATTTACATTCATACCATAATTATAACCTAAAATTACCTTCCCCTAATAAATACATTATTTCTCCACTTAATTTTCTGCTTCTGAGTGTCTTTTAAAAATAGTAAACTATTGCCCTAGCAGGGTGGCCCAGTTGGTTGGAGTGTCGTCCTATACACCAAAAGGTTGTGGGTTTGACTCCTAGTCTGGGCAACCAATCAATGTTTCTCTCTCACCTTGATGTTTCTTTCTCTCTCTGTCCCTTCTTCTCTCTAAAATCAATAAAAACATGTCCTCAGGTGGTGATTAAAAACACACAACTATCAGTTTCTCTTTTTACATTGTCTTCTCTAGATTCTCATCCACAAGCCCCCCTTACCTTGCCCACATCGGGACTTTCTATATCAAGAATTGTTTAAATGTTCTAGAACTTACTAACTGGGAACCCTATGTTCTAATGTATTTTACTTCAGTACATAATTTTAAAAATTAAGCTGGTAGGAAAGTAAAAATTACTCTAAATAATTTTGAACTATTCATTATTTCCAAAAATATTGACAGAAATTCTGCTTTTTAATTATACCAGAGAAGAAAATTAAAAAGCCAAAATGATTTTAAAATTTTAATACAATAAACAGGTGACATGTATAGACATCACCCCAAGGTTGCTTAAGAGAACTTTCTGTGATGTTGAAAACGTTCTGTATCTGCTTGTTCAATATGCATTTGGACTATTCACATGTGGTTACTGCGCACAGGAAGGAACTGTGGATTGTGTACCTGAAGCACTCAACTTTTTACTTAATCCTAACAGATCTAAATACCCACAGGTGGATAGTGGCTATCATACTGAATAACATGGCAGAGCTTCAGATTATATTCTCTGTAATTTCCCTTTTTAACTCCAGAAAAAATTCACTCTGATATAGTTTGGCAAATTTTTTGTGTGGTAACATTTTGGAATCCAATAGATAAATATATAACCAAAGACATGGCTTATCAGCAATAAGGCAAACCAGCACCTATTGCTAAATATTATGTATAGCCATATTGGCAAAATCTCATTTATTTTAACTAAACATGTCCCTTTGAAGATTCAACCACGTAAAAAAAGTGTACTTCATTTTTCTTCCCTGAACAACAAGAAGAGGACAAAAGTGGAAGGAATTGTGAAGAGGAAGGAGTTAGGAGTAACAAAGTCTGGAGAAAAGGGAGACTCTGAAATTAATTTCATATAAAAAATGCATTTATTCAAAAGATCCCTAAAAAGAATGACATGCTAAAATATTTAAAATGCACTATTAAGAAAAAGAACCATTTCAAAATGTATATACATTTATGCTCTATTAAATAGTGTAAAATATGTGTGCATAAGCATTTGTTTTCTATAATTACATTTTTAAGCAGAAAAAGTCAGTTAAAATAAAAATCAGTTCTATATGTAACCAATTCTTACAGGAAAACTATAATTACCTTCATTTACACATATCTTAAAGATAAATGTTTAATATTTACAAGGAAATCTAGTGCCAATAATCTAACTTTAGTACACATACCGTAAAAATTATTTTTAATGAGGCTTCAGTAACAGAAGTATAAATAAGGCTTAACTGGTCCCAGTGCAACATTTGTTTTCAACCTCTCAAAGACCTGTAGAGGCACTGAAGCTGAAAAACGCACTCCTGGTTACCGAAATGATAATAAATAAACCAAGCTGTGAAATCCCTTTTCTGTCTTCTATTATGAGTAGAAAAGGTATTAAAAATAACTGCCCAGCAGTTTGAAGCTCTGCTATGTAATTTAAAAAGTACCCAATCGAGAACTGGCATGTGTGCACACACACACACACACATACCCATCTACTTTGTTTATTTAAAACATGGAGAGGAGGGAATTCTCAGTATTAAAAGATCCCTGGGACACAATGACAGCTGGAAGTCACATATTATGCTGTATAGGAATAAAAAATAAAAGTATTCTAATGCATTAAAGATAACACTTTAATCTTTCTCCAAAAGGAAAACAAAAAATGAAACAAAACTTAGGCTTAAGAGAAAACAGGAATAATAAAGAAAAGAAGGGATTTAGAACTGAAAAACAACAAACGCAGTAAAGGCCACCATGCTAATTCTATGTCCTTCTTTCTAATATTATACCACTACTCTCTCTCTTTTGGCTGACTGTCTTGGCCAGGAACTCCAAAAAAAAAAAAAAGGAATAAAAATATAGAGAGCTGGCATCCTTGTTTTGTGCCTGCTTTTAATATGCTAAATTCTGGCTTTCCATTAATATGCTATATAATATAAGGCTAATATGCAAATTGTCCCCTCAGGAGTTCGACCAAGAGTTCAACCGCTTGCTATGACGTGTGGTGACCACCAGGGGGTGGCGTGGAACGAAGGAAGGCCCCAGCTGGTAGCTGGAATCCGGGGGAAGGAAGGCACCAGCCAGCAGCCAGGGGCCAGGGGGAAGGAAGGCCCAGATTGGCCCTG